ACAGCAAAAAACGCCCTTCGTCTTTGTGCTGTAAATACAGTCGGGGTTTCCTAGCGTGCGTATGTTCTGGCTCTTCTGGGCGCGGACTGGGAGACTGAGGTCCTGGGGGCAGTTAACTGTCTGCCCTCCTGCACGGTGTCTTGTTCCTGGGACCCTCCTGCTTACCTGGCCTTGGCCTCGACCCACACGCCCACGGTCGGGAAGTGAAGGTTTTGGTCTTCACGGCTTTTGGCCGTGTTTTCCTCGCATGTAGTTATAAAGTGTCTCTTTGCCGGAAGCTAGCGTTCTCCTGCAGCTTGAGGCCGCGGAATAAACACTGTCCGGTTGTAATCCAACCGGATAAAGCCTGTTCCACAGTTAATGGGAAGGGCAGCGTGTGACTCAGGCCCAATTACCGTTGGTACTTGTGTGTAGTCCGCGTGATGTGACTGGGAGCCGGTTAGCATTGCCCTGCTCGGGCAGAGACCTAACAGCCACGACTACAGAGGGTGGACAGGAGATAACATGTGAAGAGCCTTAAAAGTATATGTTACAGCAGCGTTTCAAGATAACACAAAATACACGTATTTTGGCTGTTCATACTGTCGGTAAGGTTCGGGTCAAAGGTTGGCTCTCCGTAATTCACTATGGGGTACTCCAGTGTTACATGTGGGTTTTCAACTGCGCAGGAGATCAGTGCCCTTTGCTCTTCACCATCAGGGGTAAAAACTGAGCATAACCGGATTCATGGTAGACGAACATAGCAACACAGTTGTTTTGAGTCTCATTTCTTTTTTGTAAATAATACGAAATGGGTATTTGATTCACATTCACAGACTAGAATTTAAGTTGATAACTGTTAGTGCTAATGCAGGGTTATGGGTTCAGTTTTCTCCTGTGCCAAAAAGTGTGACTCACAAGCTTGCTCCTTTCTCGCCCTCCCCCACGCCCCTAGCCAACGGACTCCTTGGTGGTAGATATTTTAATACTGGTCAAGAAATGTGCTTCGTGGTTAAGGGTGACTAACTTTACAGATACTGGAAATGCCAAAAATGGGTCAGGGAATTGTGATTTATAAAGACCTTTTTACTTAAGCAGGGTGCAGATTTGTTCCTTGAGACTTTTTACAAAGTTAGAGTTGTACCTGTTTCTGAAGGTTTGACATTTAAGAGTATTCCATACTTTCCTGAAAAAAAGTTTTGGGTGTTCATTAGGATAGAAGTCTGTAACTTACGGAAAACTGAAGGTGTAAGGTTGTCTGGTACATGTATATGTGGGACTTGGGCTTTTTAAAAAATTTTTATTTGAAAAAACTGCTAGACTATGTAAGGATTTGTATATACTGCAAATCTATAACGTTTAGTAGTGGGAAGACCAAAGTAACTAACAAATTAGTTTTCTTTCCTTTTCTGTAAAAGGCCACATGGGTCTGGGATGACAGTTCTACAGTCAGGAACCATCTCCAATTTACAAGGCTTCTGTGGACTTAGATGGTTTCTCTAGCTCCCTGACCACATCAGTCCGCTTCATAACCAACAGGAAAGAACAAGGAAGGGAGTTGGGCATGTTCTTTCCTTTTGAAAACAGTTTGCATCAGTTGCATATTTTTTTTCTATCCTATTGGCCAGGATTTAAGTCATCAGAGGTAGCTGTGTGGGAGGTTGGGATGTTTTGGAGAACCATGAGCCTGGCATAAGTTTTGGGGCTTCTATTTCTGCAGAAGACGGGGACAAGTAGCAAGCAGTCTCTTACAGAAGAAAGCAGAGTCTTAAAATGCCTCTGGTTTCGCGACCAAATATCCTTTTCTCCCTATTTTGAACATACTCCATCAAAAATCAGAAAGATATTCAGTGGTTTTCAAGATGGATGCTGACAGTAACATAATTAAGAGTTGCTTGAAAAATCTGATTATTTTGAACTCCGATTTTAAGTATCCTGAAAATGTATTTATAAAGTGCTCACAATTGTAGGAAAAAGGTGTATTTACTAATACTTGGCTGTATCTTCACAGGCATGTCATGTTACCCAGAGAACTTTCCAAACAAGTACCGAAAACCCATCTGATGTCTGAAGAGGAGTGGAGGAGACTTGGTGTCCAACAGAGTCTAGGCTGGGTTCACTACATGATTCATGAGCCGGGTAAGGGCAAGATCTGCCGTTGAGGAAGGCATTAACTGAGCTAAAATAGTAGAGTTGTGCTTGTTGAAAACTGTTACAGTAGTATCTTATTTTGGTAGTAGATTTATAATTCTGGTGTTCCCTCCTTCCCACCTTTGAAAACTTTGAAAACTAAGAACTTAAGACACTTTAAGTGTTCTCAAGTTCTATGCCTAGAAGTTAATGCAATCTGAAGTGATTTGCCTTTTCTTTTAGACTTGTACTAAGGGATAAGTGTTATCTACCACACTGAGATGAAAGAAGGTAACAGTGAATGGTGCTATGTGTGTTACGTATTAGCGTTTGTGTTGAGGTGTGGTGTTCCACACATTTTCCATTTTTCCAGATACACTTGGGCTAAATTCTATTTTTGTGTTACTAATTTAACTTAAACGATTTATAATGCTTCGAACACAATTTGAAGGCATGCTGTAGAAGCTGAATTAGGTGAACTAGAGTGATCTTGTTTTCTGCTCTTGTTAAAGAAAATCAGCAGTAGCAGCATCAGAAACTGGGGTTGGGGCATTTAATTCAATCTCCATTCAAAAGCTCTTTCTCCAGCTAATACCAGAGCAGCAACTGAGGAACTATAGAACCCTGCCCCGCACAAACAACCTTTGGGAACGGGCCCCAGGGATCTGTACTTTCTACAGGCTGGTGGTTTTTGGATTTGGTATTAGGTGTCTTTTTCCCATGAAGAGGTAACCTTTCTCGTTTCACAGGAATAGAGATTCTGAAGGTAGAAACCATTCTCCTCAAAGTGGCTTCTCTACTTAGCATCTTTCTTCAGGGGAGGTAAAACTAAAACATATTCAGGGGAATATTCTCATTATTAGCTTATTTTTTTCTGTTCACAGTTGACAGTGACTTTTGAATGTATTTCAGATACTTCAATAAGTAACAGTTGATCATAGATTAATCTTGGTTCAATTGAGAATTTGAATTTTTGGTTGATTGAAAATTAACTTCTATTAAAATTATATAAAATATTTTGTTTCCACAGAACCACATATTCTTCTCTTTAGACGACCTCTTCCAAAAGAGCAACAAAAATGAAGTCTATCTGGGGATCTTCGTAAATCTTTTTCAAATTTAATGTATATGTGTATATAAGGTAGTATTCAGTGAATACTTGAAAAATGTACAAATCGTTCATCCATATCTGTGCATAAGCTGTATTCTTCACAGCAACAGAGCTCAGTTAAATGCAACTGCAAGTAGGTTACTGTAAGCTGTTCAAGATACAATTTTTCCTAGTCAGTTTTTCTCTTAATATAAGTGCCTGTTTGACTTTGCCTGTTATTTTTGTTAAATAAAGTTTCTATGTTGCATTTATTTACTGGGGTTTGTTTATTTAAAAAATGTTGGTTTTAATATTTATTCAGTCATTTTGAGAGGGAGCACACATGGGGGAGGGACAGAGAGAATCCCAAGCAGGTTCCATGCTGTCTGGGGCGGGGGTTTGAGCTCATGAACCTTGAATCATGACCTGAGTAGAAATGGAAGAGTCAGGCACTTAACTGAGCCACTCAGGTGTCCCAAGGGGGTTTTTCTTAAGGTTAACTTTTGTCTGTTGAGGTGGTTAGATGATCAGTTTACAATGTTGGTGTGGAGGAAATAAATGTTAATGATTAATTGGGGTTTAAAACAACTTGGTTTGTGGGGGGTGCCATTTCGTTCACTTAGAAACAAGGCTAAGTTTCATAGAGACCTTCGTTTTCATTGCTCCACTGTTAGTGTAGTTCCTGGAGAACCGTCCAATCGTGAAGAACTGACCGGTATGGTGGGGCTTTGAGGAAACCCACTGACCTTGTTTGGCTCCATCTGCCAAGTGGGCGTAATGTTCCCTACAAAATATCATAGCATTTTTAAAGTTGAAAGGCGCTGTGAAACACCCTTCATTCTCTATATATGTTGTGTCTGTTAAACTGTCTTCAGCTGCTGCGGTATTCTAGGGTGAGTGCACATGCCATCTTCGCTGTGCTGGGGACACTTTAAGATGGAGAGTCTGGTGGGGCGCCTGGGTGGCTCAGTTAAGCGTCTGACTTCGGCTTAGGTCATGATCTTGCCATTGGTCGGTTTGAGCCCCAAGTCGGGCTCTGTGCTGACAGCTCAGAGCCTGGAGCCTGCTTCGGATTCTGTGTCTCCCTCTCTCTCTGACCTTCCGCTGCTCACGCTGTCTCTCTCAAAAAAAAAAAAAAAAAAGTCTGGTGATGGGTCCTCTGTCCCTCCCTGTCTGTCTTCATACACGAGGACAGGAAGTCCTGCCAGTCGTGCTGAGCAGCCGCCTAGACCTTACTTCTGCCCCTGGGGGCCCAGAGTTAGCAAGCAAGCAAGCGGCCCGAACTGCAACTGCTGTCAGCGTCGCTGTATTGTGGGTAAACCTAACTGTACAGACGGAGCGCGGAACACGGACACCGGCCTCCACCTTCCGCAGTGGTGGCTGCCAGACCCTAGGCCCTGCGGGTGGGTCCACGCAGACAAACCACGCGAACCGAGCCGCCCGCATTTCCCGCCTTCAATGCCTGCTGGTCCGCGAACACGAGCGTCCGTGCAGGGGCGGCACGCCTGCGGCCTGAGACTTGGCCCCTTCTTAACCGCTACTGGGGGGGACCCCCGACCCTCCCTCCAGGTCGCCCACGCCCGCCACGCCTCCTTCCCTCGCGGTCACTGGTCGGTTGGAAGGAATGCGGCGGCCGTGAAATGACTTCGAGCTCGCTTCCGGGGTGCTGGAAGTCCGTGGTTTCGGCCCTACTGTGACCCACGGTACGCGGCCCTTTCTTCCGCCGCCATGCGCACTTCCGGCCGGAAGCGGGGCGGGCCCGGGCGCGTTTCTGTGACGCGCTTCCTGGCGTCCGCTCCGAAGGCGGAAAAGCCGGGAGGAGGAGCGCCGCGCGTCCGTGCCGCCAGCCGACGGGGCGGCTGCTGGCCTCTGGGGCCGGGCCTGCCCCGAGCCGCGCGCCATGGCGTCGGAGCGGCCGCGGGAGCCCGCGGGCGAGGTGAGGACGGCGCCCCGCACTGGACGGGCAGGCGTCGGGGCGGACGCCGTCCCTGGGGGGAGGCCTTCCGGGTGCCCGGGGCAGGCGCCCCCGCGCCGCCTCGGCGCGGTCGTGGGGAGGAGCGACTGGCTTCCAGTCGCGGTGCGAACGCGCGCTCGAGCGGTGGCCGTCGCCGGCCCGCAGCGAAGGGGACCGTGTGATTTGTAAGCGCCTCCGCGGAAGTAAAACTCCGTGCGCTTCAAGAAACCGAAGGAGCGGGTTTTTACGTCCAAACTCCAAGGGTTTGGGACCCTAGAACGGATTTCTAGCAGGATTACCCAGCAGACAGCTTTCAGTGCTTCCCTGAGCGAAGAGCAACGGTTTTACGTAACTTTTGAGAAATTCGGTGGAGGTGAACTTGGGCGGTGCGTTTGAGCGTTTCCGTTAGCCGCTCGGCGGGCGGTTGTGGGCTCTCGCGGACGCCGGCGAGGAGAGGTCACATCCCGCACCGCCGGTGGGAGCTGAGGGGGCGCTGTCGCGTGTCCTCACTGCGTGTTCCTCTCTCACTGCCTGCCCGCGCTCCCCGCCCCCGCCACTTTCAATATTTGGTAGGATAGTTTTTTTTTTTTTTAAATAAAGCATCGAGGGAGTTGTTAGCAGATAAATTGTTATTTTTATGAGGTCGAAGTACTTGAGCAAGGGACAGTACTGGGATTAGCGTTTCTGGGGTTGCTAGAACCGAGCCCCTTTCCTGGGTTTTATTCACATTTGGTTTGCCTCAGAATGTCTGTAGTCAAAACGCCCCCTTTTTTCCCCTCCTCAGGGCATCAAGTTGTCAGCAGATGTCAAACCGTTTGTCCCCAAATTTGCTGGGCTCAACGTGGCATGGTCAGAGTCTCCGGAAGCTCGTGTGTTCCCTAGCTGTGCAGCCTCGTACTATCCGTGTGTTCCGGAGCTGCCAGGCCCTGAGTACGTATCCTTCTCAATGTCCTGCGGTACCCGGGGACCCAATGGAGGGTAGACTTTGAAAGATGCTGCACCTAACCTGTTAAAGTTCTCGAAAGACTGCAGGACACTCCTCAGCCGAGAAGGGTCTGAGCCAGTGGCACAACCTTTGTCCTGCACAGAAACGGAAACCTCAACTGTCCGTTCTTTTCTCTGCACGCATGCCATTATTTTGGACAAAGAAAATATGGGGATTGCGTGGCGGTCATTAGTAGGAAATGCAGTTTCAGGGTTCATTTGTGCATCAGGTTTGAAAGTATGTCAGGTGTCTAATGGGAGAGGGAATGGGGGTCAGACAGGAGCCCGGACAGGGAAGACTGCTCTTTGGGTTTAGGGTTTAACATCTTAAAATCTTGCTTGAGGAAGAGTGGGGGCTCTCAGGCTTTGCTGCGCTTTCTGTGGCTACTTCTGGTGAAATTGTTAGTTTCACTTTAACCATTTTTCTTTGAAGTGTCCTGGGGAGAAGAATTCTATAAGTTTGGGTTATAAAATTCTTCTAAGTTTAGCTGAAAGGAGGCTTCTGTTATTTTTTATGTTTTCCTTTTCAGGATTCATTTTTTAGGTATCTACAAAACGTTATTAGCTGTATTTAGAAGGAAACACGTGTTAAACGTTTCATGTCATTCTGTGGAGTACTTACAGATTTCGTTTGTAAGGTGTGCCTCTCCTTTATGTGAAAATCTTTGTATTTATGTTCTTTTAATGTGGGTCAAGCTTGTTTTCTTCATGCCTGCATGGTTTGATTGAAATAGTTTATACTTCATATAAGTTCTACAAGGGTATTTCGAAAGTTGAAAATTGGAAATAATAATAAAATAATCAAGTTGGTGTATTTAGGCTGTATTTTTTTTTTTTTTTGACAAAATTGGAAGTTCTGTCTGTATGTACTTGGGTAGGAATACCGAGGTTTTCCACTATAATTTCATCCTTTGTAAAAGGAAGGTTGGCATGGGTCTCATTTGAGCTGTTTCTGGCCTTGGGTGATTCACAGAGTAAAGTAGGAGACATATTTCACTCAGTGGCAAGGATTCGAAGCCATGTGCTGGGTGGGATTCCAGTTACCCAAAATAAAGGTGGAAAACATTCCTAGGGCTAAAGTAATGTTCTGGCAGTAGAATGAATAGAGATAAATCTGAAGCTTATAGGATGTGTACTGTTTGCTCAACTTAAAAATCAGGTTTCTTAATCTTTTACACTGTTTTAGCTTTGTTTTTTTAAGTTCTTTATAAGCAAGGAAAAGACTGGCTGACTGTGTTCCTTCCTGAGAAAACAACTAAAGACAAAGGCATGAAAGCACAGGGTCGGGCTCAGGAAAGACAGGGGCGTTCGAAGGGGACAGAGTGGGGATAGACATATATGACAACTGATTGTCTAGTCTGACCTCATGGAAGCTAAGAAGTCTTTGCCAGATTTGGTGTAAATGGGGATCTCCTCTGTGATGAGAAAAAAAGAGTAGCATTTTCCATAAGGAACTGATGTTCGCGCTTGTGTCCCAACCCATGCGGTTGGCAGGGAGGTGTCATGTATTTGTTACACCTGAGAAACCGAGGCTAGAAACGTGGGTCTGAGTTGCTCAGGTCGGTGGCTAGTGTCTGTCCTCCTCACCTGTGCTGCCTCGCTCACCAAAGCAGCTGTGAGGCAGGCAAGCCTTGAGCATCTCAGCGTGTCGCGGTATGGTGTCAGATGCAGGTGCTCTTCCCGTCTCTTGTCCTTAAAGTGTGGAGGCCAATGTGGGGTTTGGACTCGACCCTGAGACCAAGACCTGAAATGAGATCAGGAGTTGGATGCTTACCCAGCTAAGCCACTCAGGTGCCCCGTATGTGGGTGCTTTTAAGCTAAAACCTCTCAGCTGTGAGAGCCAGTAGTCCTGGATAGAGTGTGGCTCTGGTCTGTTTGGTGGCCGGAGCCTGACACCTGCTGGCCTGACTGCAGGGACCAGGTGCAGGACTTTGCATGGCCTTCAAGGACAGAGGGGCAGGTGGTGTGTGTGGGGAAGCCTGCACAGCCTAGGTAGGAGGGAGGGAAATGCCGGTCATGTTTTTAATGGTGGTGTGATGCTCACTTCTGGGTTCTCGTTCTGCTCGGAGGGAGGGGGCGTGAAGGCTTTGACTGGGTTGCAGGTACCGACGCTAGAGATGAAAATACGGGGAGCCCCGCTGCAGGGAGAAGGGTCCTCTGGGCGTTGCTGGGAGAGGCTGTGGCGATCTCCGGCTGAGTGCACGCACGCACGGTGGTGGGGCTTCTCCTGGGGGCACGGATGAGAAGAGAGCTGCTTGGGGACAGGGTGTGCAGCGCGCTGCTCTAGTGCCCCTTTGGTGGGACAGCCATCAGGTGGGAGAGCAGGGCCCTGAGGTGGTGAGGGCACAGGCCTGCAGGTACGTGTGAGGCTGGGGGGGGGGGCCCAGAGCCAGCGGGGGCGCGGGCCTGCAGGTGCGTGTGAGGCCAGGGGCGGGGGGGAGACCCGGAGCTGGCGGCGGCGCGGGCCTGCAGGTACGTGTGAGGCCTGGGGGGGCGGGCAGCCTGCAGGTGCGTGTGAGGCCGGGGAGGGGGCTGGCCGGAGCTGGCGGCGGCGTGGGCCTGCAGGTGCGTGTGAGGCTGGGGGCGGGGGGGACAGGTGTGGGCCCCGAGCCTGGCCGGAGGGAAGGGGAAGTGCAGAGGAGTGCCCTGCACAGATGGGCTTTTGGCAGGTGGGACGGGGTTGCTAGTTCAGGCCAGTGGAGCCATTCAGGTGATGTGACAGAAGGGCCGGACCCTGAAGATGCCATGGCTAGGAGGCGACCAGGCTTGCAGGAAGGCTGTCCTGGGGCCTCCGGACTGTTGGTAGGGATGGGGCAGGGGTATCAGGTGAGTCTACAGTGTGTGTGGGGGGCAGAGCAGCTGTAGAAGCACTGCCCGTATAAAGGGAGGGGGTGGGATGGGCTGGTGGGTGTGAAGGGGATGTGGTCTGGGGTCATCTGGGTAGTTTGTGGCAACTGGAGTTTACAGACAAGCCATTCGAAGCTCCAGTGTGCTGTGGGCTGTGGGCTGTCTCTGTGACATTTTAGTGTGTGGCGTTCTCTGCACATAACTGTATTGGTCTTGTACAGAAAGGAAAAATACCAACTTTCCAGAGGAAGAAAGAGCAGTGATGACTTGTCCAAAGTGGAAAACTAGATTGTGAATAGAGACAGGACCCAGACCAAGGGTTCTGGACTCCTGGCTGAACGTTTTCTGGATGGCTGCAGCCTTCAGATGCGCTGCACCCCGCCTCCTTCCCTTCTTTACCTGAGCTTCAGTGCTCTGTTCGTTTATCCAGTTTTTGGACTTGGGCTCCATCTGTTTTACTATTTTTTATGGTCAACCCAACTTCTTTGCCCTCATTCTCTTTGGAAGAACAGAACACCTTCATCTGCCTGGTATTAGATTTTCCGAGCTTCAAATAAAATGGATTCCCATCTAGCGTTAGCATCACAGGATGAAACTTTGAATCTTTTTCTTCTCTGCAAAGATGAGTGCTAGGCCAGGCGTACAGAAGTAGGCGCAGGAGGGAGGAAGAGTTAATTGCTAGAATTAGTGGATGATCTTATAGTGTGTGAGCTTACTGTAAAATGTCGTGGGTTCATAGATGGTGAGAGCGGGCTGCCTATAGTTAGGGCTGGCGTGAACGTGACCGCGGTGAACATTCTGGTGAGCGCGTGGCAGCGGGCCTAGCCTTGTCCTTCTCTGCAGGGCGGGCCCCTCCTCGCAGCAGAGCAGAACCTGTGTCTGACCCAGGCCACCGAACCTCGAGGAGACGATGCAGGGCGTGTCCCCATTAGCTTTTATTTCCCTGCCTTTCAGTGGCTCCACACACTCTGGGATTTCACTGATTTTCCACCAGGAAAGTTGTGGCTCTGGGAAGTCACAGAAACATTGGCTCTCAGGCCACTGTTTGCCTGCAGGTGCTGGGCGGGATGGGGGGTAGATTTGGGTGCAGGGGCTCGTGAGAGCCACCTCTGTAGGGAGAGTGGTCCAGATGGCCCCGTTGCCGACATGGCTGCGGGAGGCCTTCCCCGCGTGGGGCCCCCTGGAGGTGAGGAGCTGCGCCGTCCCTAGGCTTTCCTCCGCACGTGACGCAGGCCTGTCACGGGCACCCAGCGTGGCAACGAGCACATGGGATCGGGGCTGTGTCTGTCTTTGCGGGGCAAAAAAGGAACGCTGGGAAGTCTTATTTGGCTGGTGGAGGTGTTTTGGTGCTCGAATGGCAAGAAGCTGAAATGTTTGTGGTCCAGACGCGCTTCTTGTGTGTGGTATGAAATCTGCCACTAAATTGCTCTTCTTCCTTAGGCAGAAGCTCTATACTGACGAGGTGGCCTTTGGAGCTGCAACGTTTCCAGCCCAGTATCTGTCTTCTGAGCTCGCCGTCCATCCGTGCAGCTACTCTCCGTACCCCATGGAGCCTGTGCAGCACATGTGCCCGGTGCCGGGCTCGCCGTACGCTTACGGCCACCCCGGCTGTGACCGAGCGTTTCAGACTGTGAAGCCACGGAGCGAGCAGATGTGCGCTCTCCCTCATGGCACGAAAGCTCTGTTTAAGGTTAGCAGGTGCCGTGCCTGGTTGGTTACTTGAGCATTTAAGGTATAAAGAGCTGGTCTATTCTCACGTGATACTTAAGTATCACTTATCTTTTACGTGTATTTAAGAATTGATTTTTATTGGGGTGCCTGGGTGTCTCAGTCAGTTAAGCGACCAACTTTGGCTCAGGTCATGATCTCACAGTTTGTGGGTTTGAGCCCCGCATCAGGCTCTGTGCTGACAGCTAGCTCAGAGCCTGGAGCCTGTTTCAGATTCTGTGTCTCCCTCTCTCTCTCTGACCCTCCCCTGCTCTCTCTCACAGAAATAAACCTTAAAAAAAAAATTGATTTTTGTTTAATTTTTTTGAAGTGGTTGAGTTGTGAATACTTGCAGATTTGCAATTTTAAGGCTTTTTTTATGAGAGTTGGTTTCCCTTAATTCTTGTTACTCTTTAATTTTTCCTACAGAAAAAAACGTACGATGAACAAAAGTTTGATAGCAAGAAGGCTGACGGACTTCTGCCATCCGATCTGAAATCAGGTGGAGGCTCCCATCCTACGTCCATCCACATGGATGCTAATTTGAAATCAGGTGACGACAACAGACTCTCTGATGATATATCATCCCATCCTGTTTGCCCCAGAAATGCCACTGTCTTTCGTACTCTCGTTCCCGAGGGCTTGCTCACCGAGAAGGGCGGAGGCCAATGGGCTCCTGTGGGCTCCTGGAGGCCTCTTCCCCGGGGAGGGACCTGTGCTGGGGGGCTCCATGGCGCACCCTTTCCTGTGTAAGAACCAGTCGAAAGTCCTGTGGCACGTAGGTGACACCACAGGCCTCGGACACATCCGCTCCTGAAGTCACTTCTCTGGTGTTCTGTTTGGACGCTTTTTAATAGCTGGGTGAGTTTCCTGTTTACATCCCGTTGTGAGCAGTAGCAGACCTGGGGCGCTGTAGTTGCCCAGGGGACACGTCTGCTCTGGCCTTGGAAACTACTGTTCGGGCTGTGGCCAGAAGGTCGCGATTCTTGCTTACTCCTGTAAATCACATACTAGTGCCGTTTCATGGCTTATGTATGTAGAGTCTTTCTTTTTTTAAGTTTATTTATTTTGAGAGACAGCATGAGGGGTGAGGGGCAGACATGGAGAGAATCCCAAGCAGGCTCCACGCTGCCAGCACAGAGCCCAACACGGAACTTGAACTCCCCAAACTGTGAGATCATGACCTGAGCCAAAACCAGGAGTTGAATGCTCAACCGGCCGAGCCAGCCAGGCGTCCCAGGAGTTAAAGCCTTTGTAGTAGCGTTATTTTCTGGGGATGGTCAACTTCTTTACAGGTGTAGCTTCTAATACTGTGGTTTCTCTTCAGATTGCATAAATCTTTTGCCTTTTACAAGTGTAACTTCTATTACTTGGTATACAGATTTTTCTCTTTGTGTTGATTTTGCTCTGAAAACGTTTGGCACATGGGAACATGAAAGGGAAGTTGAATAGTTAACTGTAATGACTCTGGCCTCATGATTAAAATACTTTTTATTTATTTTTGAAAAAGAAAGAGAGAACATGAGCAGGGGAGGGGCAGAAAGAGAGAGGGAGACACAGAATCCGAAACAGGCTCCAGGCTCTGAGCTGTCAGCACAGAGCCCGACACGGGGCTCGAACCCACGAACCGTGAGATCATGACCTGAGCCAAAGTTGGCCGCTTTACCGATTGAGCCCCCCAGCCGCCCCTCTGGCCTCATGATTAAATGCAGGGACTTCGTGGCGTCACAGCCCACATCAGGATTCTTATGTATTTGAGGGAGAAAGTTGGGAAGGAGGTTCCAAGTTTAATTTTACTTGCTTTCTTCCCAAAGTCCTCTCAAGTGTGGAAGATTTGTCACTGAAAAGAAAACTGTTGGCGTCCCTGTAAATTTCTGGGGCTCTGTACATGAAGTATGACTAGGTCAGGTTCAGGGAACTGGTTCGGCAGCTTTAGAATTGTGCACAATGTGTGCAGCATGCTTGGCTGCTTGCTGCCCGGCCCCTGCGGTCCCTGCCGTCCTCCAGCGTCACGGGGGTCGGCAACACTAGCAAACGCGGGGGCGTCTGGACGGTGCCCCGTCACCTGCAGTAGACTCCCCGCTGTGCAGTTGAAGCGTGAGTACGGGTCAGCGCACGCCCTCCACCTTTACCCCCCACTTTTCATTTCGCAAACACAGATGCTTATCACCGACGGGTGGACAGGAAGTCCAGAATCGTTGAGAAAAGTGGATCTGCTTCCAAGCCGGAGTTTGAATTTACTAGGCTGGATTTTCCTGAACTGCGAGGTCCAGAGAACAGGGAGATCACTGAGACGCAGAAGCAGCCCCAGTGGGGGCCTCTGCGTTCTGCCTCAGCCGACCTCTCTCTCCTCAGGGAGGTGGGGAAGCCCGCCATGGGGACAGCAGAGGTGAGTGTGGGGCCTCCTCTTCCCCCTTCGCCCCTGTGCGGGGCCCTGACAGGGCGGCGGGTTGCGGTGTGTGGGCCCCCAGGGCGGCTGCTGTTCTAGAAGAATCCCTTAATGAGCTGCTCTGTGTTTGCTACCTGCTGCTGTGCTCGGTCCTGGCGAGGGTCCCGCTGCCCCCAGGCCCCTTGGGAGCCTCTGCACCAGCGTGGCGTTCGGACGGCCTGCTTAGCAGTGCCCGTAAAAGTCGTCGTTTTCATCAAGCACTAATATTTCAGACCGCAGACAGTAGCTTCCAATTTTTCCCAGCTTTGTACCTGTACCTCTCACTGGGGGGTCTGCAGGCTCCGCAGAGTGGTCACTGGAAGTGTGTTTTGTTGGCTGCTTAGTGATTTTAAAATACACTGTGTTCCACGCTGCGTCTCCCGGTTTTAGTCTATCCAGGTCGCAGGAAATCTGGGATCAGGTCAGTAGTCCCGAAGATGCTTGTCACAGATTTCTGCTGCGAGAGGGCGGGAAGGCAAGGAGAAGGGGACACAGGACAGGGGTGGCTCCCCGTCCGCTTCCCTGTGAATGGAGTGCAGAGGCTGCTCGGATAGGTGGCGGAGCACCCTCCGTCCGTCCGTCCCCTCCCCGCCCACCCCCGGCCCTGTCGCACTGCAGCGCTTTCCTTCTGCTCGGCCGTGACAGGGAGGGCCGGCCGGCTGCTCAAGGGACAGGGCTCGCTAGTTGGTGTGGCCCCGGCTGGGCTGTGCGGTAGGTTTGCGTCCAGGGGCGCTCCCGTGCGTGTCCGAGCCAGTGAGCGGGTGGGGACGTTCTGTCAGGGTCTCTGACTCCTCGTGAGCACCACGGATCTACACACAGGGATGCACGCGTGCTGTGTCAGGATGCTTACAGACTCAACAGCCTTGTGACGTGTTCACTCTCCTCAGTTACACGTGGATTTAAAATTTTTCCCTCTAGGAGCTTTTTCGTTAGTACTAGTTTCTTCAAACACGAGAAAAATAATTGAAATAAACAGTTGACTGAACAATACATTTTAACTCCACTTACTTGTGTGGATTTCTTTTTTTTTTTTTTTTTAATAAAACCAGTACAGTGCTGTAAACATGTCTTCTTCTCGTTGTAATTCCGTGTAAGTGTTTTGTCGTCTCAGCTTACCGCATCTTAATGTATGACGTGTGTGTTAATCCACCTCCGTGTAATCGGTAAGGCTTCCGGTCAGCAGTAGGCTCTCAGTAGTCAGTTTCTGGGGGAGTCCAGAGTTCCGTGTGAGCTTTTGACTGGACTCCAGGAGGTCAGCACCCCAGTCCCCATGTTACTCCAGGGACAGCTGTAGTTGTCTGAAGTTGCGCAAGAGAAAACTGTGTTAAGCACTTAAATCTTTTTTTAATGGTACGTTATGGGAATTGAGGGATTCCTCTCAACTTGAGGTTGTGCATATGTAGGCGTTTGTATTTGAGGTTTTATTTTGTTGGTTTTTTAAATACTTGTTTATTTTTGAGAGAGAGAGAGAGAGAGAGAGAGAGAGAGAATCCCAAGTAGGCTCTGCTCTGTCAGCACAGAGCCCAACTTTGGGCTCAAACTCACACATCATGACCTGGCCAAAGTCAAGAGTCGGATGCTTAACCTATGAGCCACCCAGGTGCCCGTGTTTGGGTTTTTAAAATTTTTTGCATTTTTCCTTGTCCTAAGTATTTATTGAAAACCTGTGGCTCTGGATCTTTATTGATCCGTGTAATTTACATGATCGTTCTTCAATAGGTAAACTTTCTGGTGTTGCGTTGGCCTTGTTGAGCCTCTAAGTCCTGTTTATTAGAAGAACAGGCTGTGTTTTACTTTATTTTTTGTTACTGGACTCAGATTTAATGAAGTGGCAAAGTGGGAAAATGTTTTAAGGCTCTGAGCTTTAGAATTTATTTTGAATCCATTCAGATTTGAATGCATCAGTTACCTTTTGCCTTGAGTGCTGCCGGTCACCTGCCGGTCTTCATGTGCTTAACTGCCCCCTGGGTCACCTGCCGCCTGGTGTTCCGGGTGGGGCCCTTTCTGGCTTTACCGAAGGGTGCATGGGTTACAAGACGTACATTGGCTGTGTGTGGGCCTTCGGGTGTGGTGAACTGTGGCTCCCGCCTTCCCACGGGGGCCTGTGACCGCAGGTGGTGGGGCCGCCTGTGTGCTGGCGCGGGGGCTGTGTCACACGGATACCTTATGAGGGGTGGGGTGCATGTGCTGTGATCCCCTGTGTGGGTGCACGAGAAAGCAGTACATGGGTGTTCATCACCTGGCAGGGAAGGGGGCTCTGTGGGCTCTGCTGCGCTCGGTGGGTGCTTTTCCTGCAAGCAGTGAGGCTTGGTATTATACACTTCTGTATTTACTTATTTATTTATTTGGGATTAAAAAGATTTTTTAAATTTATTTATTTTGAGAGAGAGTGAGTACACAGAAGGGGAAGGTGGCGGGTGGGAGAGAATCCCAAGCAGGCTCCATGCTGTCAGTGCAGAGTGGGATGCGGGGTGCGGACTCACAAATGGTGAGATCATGACCTGAGCTGAAACCAGGAGTTGGATGCTTAACTGACTGAGCCACCTAGGCACCCCATTTATTTGGAATTTTTAATTAGCATGTATTTTGCAGATTTTAAGAACAGCAAGGGACGCCGTATTGAAAAATGAAGTGACTGCTTTCAGTTTGCGATAGTAGGAAAATGTCGGTTTGCCTTTTAGGGTGAAGGAGCGGCGAGAAGCCCGAGCGTGGCCGAGTCCATGGCCCCCGGTGCCGTGGCCGGGACCTCCTCGTGCGCCAGAGGTAAGAGCGGCTGCGGCCTCCGTAGGGTGCCGGTCCTCTGTCTGCCGGGGCTGAGTGGTCTGGAAGCCGGCCCAATGACCTCGATGGGGGCAGGGAGGCGAAGGCGAGCCCTGAGCCCTCGCGTCTGCACGCAGGGCTGTGAAGCGGGAGCGGAGAATTCTAGAGAAATATGTCTAACTCTTCTGTGAAGCGAGATGTTGTATGGGTTCAGGAACAACTGCTTCTTGCAGTCTGCCCCAGTGGTTCTCAGTTTCTGGCTCAGGACCCCTTAGGACCCTTCAGAAAATCCTGGGCGCTTCTGTGTGCTGGTGTAACCGTGGCCGGATCTGCAGTGTTCACAGTTAAAAGTAGTCATTCCTTTACAAGCAGCCCCGGGAAGCCCACTCCCTGTTAATGTTGTGTGTTCTTGTGGAAAATGGCTTTTTCAAGATGAAAACCCTGTAGTGAGGAGAGCAGCCTTGATTTATGCATTTGCAGCTCTTCACCGACCACCGGCTCCCCGTGGCTCGGCCTCAGCGTCAGGCTGTCGGGCTGTCTGCACCGCAGCCTCCCAGAAGCCCAGCCTCGGCCTGGGGGAGATCACGCAGGGAGGCGGGGGGCTGCCTGTATGTCAGGGAGTGGGTTCTGACCCCGTGGACCCTGCCGGGGTCTTGGGAGCCTCAGACCACACACTGAGAGCTGTTTACCTGTCCCAGAAGTGACATTCACTGAGAGTTCAGTAATTCCGCCTTTAATTTGTCTAAGTAGCTTGTCCTAACGGAAGAGGGTTTCACAGGATTATTCCACATATATCCACAAGTGTGTTTTCTTTTGTGTTTTCACATTTGGTATGTGTGTGGTTCAGTAATGACCTTCACTTAAGTGGTGACTGGAATGGTGTGTGGCTCTGTCTGGCATCCTGGGGGGAAGCCCTGGCTTGCCTGGGGCCTTTTGTGTCCGCACAGAGTCTCATGGGCACCTGAGGGGTGGTGTTGCCGTACTTGGGCCTGAAGCCTCAAAACGAAAGACATCACCAGGTACCACAGTGGCTCAAGTCTATGATCTTTGATTTGTGTTGTTAAAGGTACATATCAAGGTTAGGGCCAAATTTTCATCTTTGCCTTGTTTTGTGCATGTACCTGCATGTACAGTGTGGACTGAACTGTGGATTGTTACTTTTTAACCAAAACTGTAGTTTGTGTACCTACCACACCCCCAAGTTAAAAATCCGGTTTTTGGGAAGAACACATACCCCACAAGTGAATTCAGCTCACGTGCTCCAGGCAGAAAGCTTACCGAGCCTGGTGGTCTCCAGGTTTAGAGCTCTGGTCCGAGTGTGATTATGCCCTGGGTCGTTGCCTCAAATGATATGTTTGCAGTTTCAAAGTCTTTTCATTGTACCGTTGAGATTGTTCAACACCTCTGGTTATCTTTGAGCAGAGTTATCTTGGACACCAATGGGTTATGTTGTTCGGCAGACATTATCGACAGAACGGCCACCAGCCCCTAAAAACGTTACTTCCATGATAAACCTAAAGACGGCTGCTTCATCAGCAGACCCCAAAAGCGCTAGTATGTCACCCTCTGAAGTTTTCTCTTCGGACTCTTCCTGCAAAGAGAAACACGCCTACTCTATTAAAAAGGTATGTGTCCCACTTGGGTTACGTGGGTCTTCTCTGCCACTGACCGGATAGCGTTTTCATCTCTTCTCAGCTGCCAGGGGAGTGTCCCGTTCTGTACCGTAGCGCCCATCTGATTTGGTCCCACTTGCACCTTGGGAGAAGGTAGAACCCCAGTCCGGGAACACGAGCGGGAGAGAACATCACGAGGGGTAGAGGAGGTCGAACCCGTCCGGGAACACGAGCGGGAGCATTTAGAGGGAGGGGCCCCGTCCGTTCCAGACCCACGGACTCCGTGTCTGTGAGCCGTCGTGAAGTCTCTGAAGGAGAGGCGCTGGCGGAAGCTTACGCTGCGCTGTGGGAAGTCCTGCCTTTTCACCCCTCATCCTTCATCTGTTGAATTCCAGCTGCTCTAAGTGGCGAGGGCAGTGACGATAAAACAGTTGAGTTCCACACTTTGTGATCGGCTGTATGTCACAGAATCTTGGTTAACCCAGCTTCCTTGAAAGAGCATTTCAGAATCCGTTTTTCCCTTTCAGGTAATTTGGAGCTGTCATTTTTATTGGCTCCTGCATTTCTTGAAGAGCCTTTTTTATGGTCTGGATTTTGTTTTTGATTTTCATTGTGTGTTGCTACGTCATTTCAGGTTATAATTGGCCGTGTTTGTTTAGTGCAATGATGTCCCGTCTTTTTGAGCACAAGGATACTTTCTGATCCCCCGAGTGTCACAGACCATCTCTCGCAAATGGGAACTGTGCGTTGACGGTCAGTTTGATGGAGGGAAGGTGTGCTGGTGACAGGTCCGGTGAGGTCAGACCTGCCTGCCCGCCCTCACGGCTTTATGAACCATGTGCAGTATCCCGGCAGAGTGGGCGACACCCCCCCTGCAGGTCGGGCCGCCAGCTTGGGGCACGTGGGCACAGGCCGCACGATGGGCCTTGGCCGCCGTGCTCTTTCCGAACCTGATTTCCTGATGCACAGTTGAGTTCTTAGAGTTGAGAGGTTTTGTTTTTCCAGAACCTTTTTGAAAGGTGTTTTAATTTTTAATTTTTTTAATATTTTTATTTATTTCTAGGAGAGAGAGAGAGAGACAGCATGAGCAAGAGAGAGAGAGAGACAGCATGAGCAGGGGAGGGTCAGAGAGAGAGGGAGACACAGAATCTGAAACAGGCTCCAGGCTCTGAGCTTGCTGTCAGCACAGAGCCCGACGCGGGGCTCGAACCCACGAACCGCGAGATCATGACCTAAGCGAAAGTCGGACACTTAACCGGCTAAGCCACCCAGGCGCCCCTAAAAGGTGTTTTTTAATTATAAGTGTAAGGAAAGTTTGTTTTAGAGAAGTTCTAAGGTGAGAAAATTGGGATCGCCTGTGTCTGACAACCCAGAGGGCCTGGTCTCGTGTGTAACGGGGAGAACAAGGTCACGGTGCTTTTCTCCCTCGGAAACTGTGCTGTGAATTTTTATCATCAAAGTAGTATCACATCAAAGTGTAATACCGCAGAGACCTGCTTGTGAACAAGGTCATCTTCTCCCCGCTTTGTGGGCCCCCCCTCAGGGAAGCCTGCGTTAACAGCCTGGGGTGTATCCTACCTCAGGCTCACCAGAGTGTTAACAAATAGAGATTTTTTTGTTTTGCTCTTTTAGATTTTTTTCTTTTAAACAAAAATGAGTTCATTCTGTACGTACCATCCTTGACAGTTGCCTTGTTCACTTAACAAGATTCCATGGGCAGCTCCCTTAGATCAGTGGGAAAACATTCTTGGTACCCCTGGAGGCCAGGTCCCCGGGGGGGATAAAGCAGGGCCCCAGACGCTCGGTTAGAGCCCCTGCACTCCTGGCGCCTCCATCCTGACAGCCCAGTGCTGTGCACACAGGGAGTGGTCAGTGCCTCGGCGAGGGTGGAGGGGGAGATGCTCCGAGGAGATGGGATGGCTCTTGAGCTGGAGTGAGGGCGCAGTCCTAGCCTACATCCACGTGTGGGTGCAAACGCAAAGGCCCTGAGGCCAAGGTGCATTTGACCTGATTGAAGAAAGGCCAGGAGGCTGAGGGAGAGTGGGAGCGGTGGGGTCACATCAGCAGGTGTGGGATGGGCCTTGGCAGTTGTCCCATCTGAAGGCTTCACAGGGGTTCTGATGTGCAGTTTAGGGACCCCTGGGCCGTGGTGCCAGAAGGGGTACACGGGGTGTTGAAAAGACTCTGAGTTGGTATTAGAGACATTAATGTTCTCTGGCTCAAAAGTAGGTTATGTGCATATCTACCAGTTTGAAAATAATTGGACGTGACAACTGTTTCAACAGATTTCTTTTTCTTGACTGCTCTGCTGAACACCGGCTCTCTGGCAAACAGGGAGTGAGGAGACTGACTCAGAACAGAGTTGTCACGTGGTTGTACAGCCTGGTAGCTCAAGTTTGCTCTGACTCACGGAAGTAAACACTTTACTGAGTGTCATAAAACCCATGATTTTTGCTGTTTTTTGTTCTAGTCCAAAGCGTCACAAGGTGGCGATCCTGAACAAAATGAAGCCTCAAGAAAGCATAGGAAAAAGAAAGAAAAGCCTAACTCAACATATGAAGTGTTGACAATTCAAGAGCCACCAAGAATTGAAGTACATTTATACTTATTACTCACCTCGTATGATGTAATAAATGGGTCTGTTGTAATAGAAATATGGGTTCATACTGGCTTCCAAAGGGAAACTTTCCAGTATCTTCTTTAATAATCTTTGCCCAGTTGGTCCCGTTTCCTTCACTGTAGCGCCTGGCACGGCCCCCGAGTCGGCGCGGGTGCCCAGTGAGCGTTAGTTAGAGTGTGAGAGTAGTAGCGGGAGACACGCCTGCCCGCCCGGGGACCCGGCCGTGTGAATCGTAGTGCTCAGATTTACCCGCGGGGTCTTGTTCACCCGTTTCCCCTGCTTTGGCTTGCTGGCTGCTCGGGGTCTGCTTTTGCACCCAGGAAGGTTACTGCTGTGTGCTTTGCTCTGGAGAGAAGGGTAGGGCGCCGCGGCTCCTTCAGGGGCCCTGGCTGAGGGAGTGCCACGAGCTTCCGGCATCGCCCCGTAAATCGTTTTCCTGTGGCGCTCCAGAGAAGCCTGTGTCCCCCACTGAGTCGTGCTGGGTCCGACTCAGTTCCAGACTCAGCAGCCCGGCTCCTGGCACCGGCAGAAGTGTCTCTCAGCGCTGCTGCCTGGCATCCGGCTCAGGGCCCAACCTGACACTGTCCTGCCCACCTGGGCACTCCCAGGGCTCCTGGAACATTCCCTTGAGGACTTTGGGGTCACGTGTTTGAAGACCTACGACCCCAGTAGAGCATTGGTTTGTGCTAACAAGGAATTCGTGTATTTGTTGCCCCGTTTCCCATATAACATCTCTAAGTCACCTGAGATGCTAACAAGCTCACAAGATGTTTTTAAATGACGCAAACATCATTGGTAGAGGCCCTTTGCCTTTACTGTTTCCTAGCTTGGGATCAGCACATGTGACGGGGAGCTTCCTTCTCCTGAGTCTAGCGTGACAGGTTCTGGAATGGAAACACACTTGGAGCTTGTGCCCAGGGGTTAGGGCTCCCATGTCCTCTCCGGGGCGGCGGGATTACAACTTTTCTCTTTCTGTTCTGAGTTAGACGGTTTGGAGGCAGGTTTAGATGCCCTTGAAGCCTTGTGTGGGAGCTGTTATAGACAGAAGAACATGAGTGAGGAAGGGCTTGCACTTACACACGCTTGTGTCGTGATCCGCGAATGGCTCAAGGCCGTGTGGTTTCTGTAGGATGCCGAGGAGTTCCCCAACCTGGCGGTGGCATCCGAGAGAAGAGACAGAGTGGCATGTCCGAAATTTCCATCCAGACAGCAGCCACAGGTAACTCTTCGATTGAACCCATCACTGCCCTGGACTTAACTTCTCTCGCTCGGCTAAACTCTTGAGAAAATCTATTTTCCAGACTTCTTTTTGTACCAAGACAGGTGGTTTGTTGTGATTCATTCCTTCATTGGAGAATCACATCCGGCATGTTGAAATAAACGTGCTGTAAGCTCAGACATTTCATCGTCTTTATAGCCAGACTGTTGGTCACCGACTGCCACTGCTGCATCAGAAAGGGGGGGCATAGACTGCCGAGGACACTTGGACTTGAAGGGAATAAGTTGACTCCATTTATTCGGGAAACAAGAATCCCTTTGTGAGGCAGCTGTGTCTGACGGAACAAAAGTAAGGGAGCCTCCAAGATTCACACAAGGCGAGGAGCTGAGTCCCCTTGAGTCCCTGCCCCGCTGTGGACTCAGGTTGAACTTGGAGTCACCACCCAGATGGAGAACTTGCACTTGGCCTGTTTCTTCTCTCGTCTCCAGCATCTTCATTGTCCTTTTGTCTTTTGAGGTGGGGTCATTATTTTCACAGTTTTGGGAAGTAAAATTCTCAGCTTGTGTGCATGTTAATGGTATTCCCGTGTTATAGTTGAGTCACTTCCAGCCCTGCTGGTGGAGGTCGCTGTAGTGCGTCCGGGTTGCAGGGTGCCCGCGCCCAGGCAGGATGACAGGGGTGGGGGTGCCGGGGCACATGCGGGCACCAGCCTTCCAGATGGAGGTTCCGTTTGCTGCATGTTTCCCACTCCCTGCCTGAATTTGGTATCACCTGCTGTCTGTATTTTGAATCTTCTCCTCGTGCTTTCACGGCGTTCAGTTGGTGCACCTGGGCAGTCAGAGACAATGGGCTGCCAGTGAGTCAGCGATGCCAGTCACCTCGCCTCACACACAAACTTGTGTTGCTGAGGACTTCCCACCCGTCTTGGTTTTTTAGCCGTAGGTATGTGCTCTTACTCCCAGTGTTGTAGACGGAAGCGTTGCTGGTTTAACATAAACCCAGGGCTCTGAGAGAAGGAGGAACGAAACAAGCATGGTAGTCATACCGAAAGATACCGTGGGATTCTCTGGGGTTTTCTTTAATTTTTAAAAGGTTTTTATAGTTTCTATAAATCTGTTTCATTTTATTTCTTAGATTGTTAAGAAATATAAAACATTGTAAGAAGCAGTATTCTAACTAAACTTTTGATTTTTTTCATTCTATAGAATAATTTTAAGAGCAGTGGAAAGAAGAGCCAGATTCCGGTACAGCTGGATTTGGGTGGGATGCTGGCTGCTTTGGAAAAGAAGCAGCACACCCAGAGTGCGAGAGCATCCTCCAAGCCAGTGGTGTTCTCGGGTAAGGCTCTTTTCCATCCCCACTGTTCTGTGACTGTTTTATCTTGTAATCAGAGGTATTTTTGTAGAGTCCAGACCTCTTGGTAGTGCGATGGATCAGGAGTCTGGAAATAAACCCACATATCTGTGGCCGGTGAAGTTTTGACCAAATATGTTCATTAAAAGAACAAGGAACAATTTTAAAGATGCTGTTGGATTTCCACACACCACAGAAAGCTGGGCTCCTGGGCTCCTGCCTCACACCGTATATATACATCATTTTCCTCAAAAGGGGGCAGACAGTGACCTAGGTATGAGAACTAAGTCCGTAAAATGCTAAGAAGAAAACAAAGGTCAATTTCATGACCTGGAGTTAGTGAACAGGACACCAAAAGCACAGGCCACGGAAGGAAGGAAAGAGCAAAGATCTGTGTGCCAGAGGGCAGTTTCAAGAAAGTGAAAAGATAATTTACTTGCAGAATGTGAGAAAATGTTTGCAAATCACCCATCTGAAAAGGGTTTGATATCCAAAGATCTATGAACTCCTACAGTTCAGCTATAAACACCCACTAAAAGCAGGCAGAGGAGTTGACTTTGCCAGAAGGTGCCCGTATTAGTCGTCAGACTGGTGCGAGCCAGCAGCGCAGTGCGCTGTGGTCACAGATGGACGGTAGCAAGTCCTGACGAGGACTTGGGGCAATGGGGGGCTTCTGGGAGTGTGAGGTGCGGAGACTAACTTGGGAAGCAGGCTGGCGGCCCCTTGGTGCTACATGGAGGTTGTCACGTGCCCACCAATTCCACTCCTCTGCACCCGGAAGAGTTGAAAACAGAGACTCAGACGCTTGCAAGCTCATGTTCATTGCAGCATCATTCACAGTAAGAGGTGGAACCCCCAGGTGTATATCGCACAAACAGCTACCGAGTGTGGTCCCGGTGTACGCTGGCTGCTCTTCGGTCCTAACCAGGTGGGGGCCCCTGCCTCCTGCTCCAGCCTGGGGAAACGTGCAGACGGGATGCAGATGAAATGAGCCAGCCTCGGAAGGGCAGACAGTATGTGAAATATTCCGTGTAGACAAATTCACAGAAGGTGGATTAGAGGATCCTGGGGGTTGAGGGCTGTGGGGACTTAACGTTCAGTGGGGGCATGAACAGCCTTGGGGAGTAGGTAGTGGTGACAGGTGCACCACACCACGTGTGTAACTGATGCCCCAGAATTGTGCATTTAGGAATGGTTCAGATACTAGGTTTTTACAGGGTGCTACACGGTGATGACTAAGTTGTGACAGTTAAGTATTGCAACCCTCGGGTGCCCAGGAGCCTGGAATATCTATCCTCTGGCCTTTTAAAGCAAAGCCAGCTGCCCCTGGCCTGTGCCCCCTTCGTTGTGCTGTTGTTGTTGTGTCCCCAAGTTGCAGATCTTGTCGGTGTTGCCTCCACGTGGGAGTGTGCGCGGCCTTCACTGGAGTTCAGATCCGTTTATGGGTCATTTGCTCTTTGGAGGCGAAGCAGGCGTACAGTGAGGTGCATACATCCTGGGTAGGCCCTTTGCGGAGTATCGGCACACGCAGACCTGTAGGACCCAGACTCCCGTCAGCACCCTCGGAAGTCCCCGGCCCCTCCCAGCCGGCCCCTGCGGCTGCCCACTTGGCCCCGTGCGGATTCTCGGTCTGCCGCAGGATTGTTTTTCCTGTCCGAGCGCTTTACGTGAAGGGACTTTGTAGTACACGCTCATGCACGTAAGGCTTCCTTCACTCATCAGGGTGTTTTTGAGATTTATTCACATTGTGTATGTGTGTCTGTAGTGCCTTTTTGTTTTTTATTCAGGTGACATTCAAGTAACACAAAAGTACGCTTTTTGGGGTACAGTTCCGTGGCGTGGAGTTCATCCAGAATGTTGTGTAGCCGTCGTCTGTCTGGCTCCACGTTTCCATCGTGCCAAGGGGAGACCCCTACCCTCTAAGCCCCACCTTTCCCCAGCCCCTGGCAGCCACCAGCGTGCATTTTCTCCGTGGACTTGCCTGTTCTGACGTGTTCTGTAGATGGAACGTGCTGTCGTGTGACCTTTGTGGCAGTCTGCTTTCATGTAGCGAACCGCGTTGCATTTTCGTCTGTGTTCCCGTCGGCATTCGACTGGTTCTCACGGCTCAGTCGTATCCAGTGGCCACAGTTGTGCCCACTCATTGATGGACAGGCCGGTGGTTTCCACCTTTTGGTTGTTGTGAATAAGACCTTTGTCACGTCCATGTACCAGTATTTGAGTCTCTGGTTTTGATTCTCTTGGGAGCAGCCTCGCTGGGCCACGTGGTAGGGATATACTTAGTTTGTAAATGCTCCAGACCATCTTTGATGCTGCTTGTGTGCTGTTGGGCACTCACCGGCGACGTGTGAAAGTTCGGGTGGGTCCACATCCTCGCCGACATTTGGTCACTTCGATCTTCATTTCAGCCATTCTTGGGGATGTGGGGGGTGCAGGTGGCATATTTTTGAACCTGAAAACTGGAAATGCTATTTCTCCTGTGGATCGTTTTTTTTTTTTTTAAATTTTTTTTTAATGTTTTTATTTATTTCTAGGAGAGAGAGAGAGAGAGAGAGAGACAGCGTGAGCAGGGGAGGGTCAGAGAGAGAGGGTGTCACAGACTGAAACAGGCTCCAGGTTCTGAGCTGGCAGTCAGCACAGAGCCCGACGCGGGGCTCGAACCCACGAACCGCGAGATCATGACCTAAGCGAAAGTCGGACGCTTAACCGACTAAGCCACCCAGGCGCCCCTGGATCGTTTTTATCCAGGCTGCTGAGTGCTACGTAGTGAGCAGTTTCTAAATTGCAGTCTCGTGGCTACGGCAGGAGGAAGGTTACGTGATAGTTTCATGGCGACGTTTACTAGAAGCCCAGCTTACAACCTTACAGTGCGTGAATGCAGCCGATTCAGCCAAAGCACAGCGGTTGAGGCACCGGCAGGCAGCCTGTCCCCACCCAGTGTCCCTCCCTCACGCTGCATCCCCAGGACCACTGCAGTGGCACCTGTGGGGAGTGGGCGGAAGGCATGGACTCCGGGCACGGCTCAGACCGGGCGTCCGGTGCACAGAAATTGCTTGGGGTGGGATCGGGGTTGGGGAAGGGGTGTTTTTAGCAAGCACACGGTAGGATTTTTTGTTTGGTCTTGTTTTTTACTTTTTACTGTGGGAAATGATGAAAGGTGGAGAGAAGGCAGTGCGCCCTGCCGCCACATGCCCCCGACCCAGCTCTCGTGGTTGTCAGCACTGTGCCGTGTTGTTGCATCTCTGACCTGACTTTGTGTTTTCCTGACGTATTTTAAAGCAGCGTAGGCTCTGTGTCATTTCACGTGGAGTACGTCAGTGGCGTCTCTGGCTGATGGTGGCTGTGCGTTTAACTGCACCACTTGGCCATCCAGCTGTGTCCATGCTTGTTTCTGTTAGCGTCGAGTGTGCAGTCTGTATTTAAACTTCCTGGACTGCCTCAGTGATGTTGGTAGTTGCGTTCTTACCAGGATCCACACTTGGGTCCGTCACCAGTCTGAGTCAATCTGCACCAACGCCCGGGGACCTCTGCCCTTGGATAGTCTATTTTTCCCAGCACATCTGATGGGAAAGGGCTCTGACCGTGTGTTGTTGTCAGACCGACCCAGTTGCTTCGGCAGAAGTGGACAATTGTTACCTACCTTTACCTGCAGGCAAAGTCAGCTTTTCCTCGGCAGTTAGCTGTGGGCTTGTCCTGTAGTCTTTAATGGGCTGGTGAGTCAGGTGTGCCCATGAGAGGAGTCGGAGGAGAGGCTCAGGGAAATGGTGTGTTAGGTATACGCGCAGGTCCGGGAGATAGGAGGCTCGGCCGGCGCCGGGCTAGGCAGCAGGCGAGGGCTGGAGCAAGGCGAGGGCTCTTCGAGGCCTGCGGGTGAGCGATGCTGTGCGTCTTCTCACGTGCCTGGTGGCCGACTGAGTGTCGTCTTCAGAGAAATGTCTGTTCACGTCTTTTGTCTGGTGTGTGTGTGTGTGTGTGTGTGTGTGTGTGTGTTTTAAAGAGGGACAGAGTGTGAATGGGGGAGGGGCAGAGAGAGCGAGGGAGACACAGAATCTGAAGCAGGCTCCAGGCTGAGAGCGGTCAGCACAGAGCCTGACTCGGGGCTCGAACCCACGAACTGTGAGATCATGACCTGATTTGAAGTTGGACGCTTAACCGACTGAGCCACCCAGGCGCTCCTGTCTGTTTTTAATTGGATTATTTGAGGGTTGTGTGTGTGTGTGTGTGTTGTGTAAGTTCTTTATGTATTTTAGATATTAACTCCTTGTTGGGTATGTTATTTGCATATAACTTCTCCCATTCAGTAAGTTGTCTTTAGTTTTAATTGCTTCCTTCACTGTATAGAAGCTTTTTTTTTTTTTGATAGTTTCAGTAGTTTATTTTTGTTCTATTTCCCTTACCTCAGGAGACATAATCTAGAAAAATGCTGCTACAGCCAGTGTCAGAAATTACTGCTTGTGCTCTCTTCTGGGATTTTTATGGTTTCAGACCTTGCATTTAGTCTTTAATCAGTTTTGAATTATTTCTGTGTATGGTGGGAGAAAATAGTTGTTTCATTACTTTGCATGCAGCTGTCCAGTTTGCCCAGCACTATTTGTTGAAGGGACTTTTCCCCATTATGTATCACATCCCCTGTTGAAAATTAGTGAGCCATGTAATTGTGGGTTTATTTCTGGGTCCTCTAATCTGTTCCATTGATTTGTGTGTCTTTCTTTGTGCTGGTGTGGTTACTACAGTTTTGTGGTAGAATTTGAAGTCTGGGGTTATGATACCTCCAGTTTTATTCTTCTTTCTCAGGCTTGTTTTGGCTATTTGGGGCCTTCTGTGGTTCCATACATTTTAGGGTTATTTGTTCTAGTTCTGTGAAAAATGCTGTTGGTGATTTGATAGGAGTTGCATTAAAGGTATAGATTGCTTTGGATAGTATGGACATTTTAGCAGTATTTGTTCTCCCCATCCATGAGCATGGAATATCTTTCCATTTGTTA